TTTCTTTGTGGATTTTGCAAAAAGTTTGTGTTTTGGATATAATCCTCTGAGAAAAACCACACCCTAAACTACTATTTTGAATAAAGAAATCTCATTAGTGTTGAATAAAATTAATGAGGAGCTTAAAAATGAAGATAATTTAACATTAGGTATTAAGTTTGGGTAGATTATTAAATATTGTATTAAATTTATCTTGATATTTTTATTTAATTTATATTTATTATTATAGATATTGATGAATTTTGAAGCAATTTTTGTTAGAATAATGAGTAAATTTTTTATTGGAGAATTAGAATAAATATATATGTATATTTAATTTTTACTTCACTCACTAGTCGTAAATATAAGGACACTTGCAGATCATCGGAAATAATTGAATAAAGAAACACGAAAAAAAAACCATTCGCTTATTAAGTAAAAAATCATCTCCATATCAAACAGTGTAATATACTGAAATTTCACCGCATATAAACAACAACTTGTTGTTTTACGAACCTTAAAAAATAAAAATGAATTTTTTCGGAATTTTCAAGAAAACCTTTAACTCGAAAATTGACCACAATGGCAAGTTCTAACGAACTTTGTGGTATAAGTGAAAAATGCATCTTATGTTTGAATCTAGTTATATCCAAAATTCTAGATCATTTAGTAAATTAATTGTCGAGATGTCATACAAAATACTCAAACGAATTAATTTTGAGGATCTTTTAAAAGTAAACACTTCAACCATTTTATTTTTTAAAGAGAATTTAAAATGTTCAAAGCTACTCAATTATCTGAATTCGAACGCGGAGAAATTCTTGGCTTAAAAAAGGCCGATTTTTCTTATAGAGAAATAGCTCGCATATTAAATAGATCAAAAGTGCAGTCGAAAAGACCATTAATGATTATTTTCCAAAGAATAAAACAACTCCAGCTTTTAGACCTGGCAGGATTTAAAAAGAAGACTTGGAATGAGAAACCCAGAACCAAAAATAAAACAGGACTATTCAATTTATTAAAGGGGAATGGTTTAATATTATCTTGGGGAAAATTAATGGATTAATAAATAGTATGCCACAAAGAAT